GACAAAATAGACACTGCCGCGTGGGCCCTCCTGACAGACTACTATACTAGCATAGCTAAAGTCCTCCAAAATTTTCTAAGTCCTAAGTATCTACAGATAATAAATGAATGCCAAAAGAAAGGACACTGGTGGCAAGATTAGTTTACCTTACCACGTCGTTTTCCACCCAAAAACACCCGCACAAGAAAGGCGTCGCGCCACGGGCGCCCCGTGGAGCGCGCGCCCAGGTGCATCCACGCGGCATATATCACGTAACCTCCCGTGCACAGCACAAAACACCGTCATGTTGTATGCATCCACATGCTCGCATCGAACTCGGTCTTATCGCATCGAATAGCTTCCTTATTCCCATTTCCCTATAAGATGTAGGAGTAGCGCATTTGATGTGAATTGTGGGCTTGTGGTACTCAATCCTATGCGCCTATGCGGCGGTTTTTTCCCTTTATTTATATCTTTATCTTTATAGAAGAAAGAAAAAGAAAAGGATGGAGGAGGGGATAGAAATAGATGAGCTGATGTGGTGGTTTCGCACGTATAACGAACAAGCTAACGTACAAACACGCACCTTACCTGAGCCTGACGCGACACCGCTGTCGCCATCGGCCACGCAACTGGGCCATACAGATTGTTTGGTGCTGATAATCGGGAGCCGGGGAGCGTAATTAACATGCCAGACTGCTAATACTTAATGAGCATTAACAATTTTTTTCCATCTCGTGATGGATGCTGCAGTGCGTCGTTGGCGTCTCTGACACGTGAAACCGGGCCGAAAGTGGTGAAGGGCGACCCGGCCAGGAAGGGTGAGGCCGCCGCGAAGGGCGCGCCACCGACGCCGCAGGCGCACCACCAGCACCACCACCCCGCCGCACCCACCATCGCCGTCAGCGACAGCTCCCTCAAGTTCACCCATGTCCTCTACAACCTCTCGCCTGCTGGTAAGCATCGCATCGCATGCCCCCTGCACAACTTCTTCTTCAAAGATGCACGTTGCGTTGCCATGCGAGAGACTAGCTGCTGATGGATGCTTAATTTGCCCCTGTGGTGCTTGTCATCAAATACAAAACTTAAAAAAAAAACAGAGCTGTACGAGCAGGCGATCAAGTACGAGAAAGGGTCGTTCATCACGTCCACCGGCGCGCTGGCGACGCTGTCGGGCGCCAAGACCGGGCGGTCGCCCAGGGACAAGCGCGTCGTCAAGGACGAGGCCGCCGCGCAGGAGCTGTGGTGGGGCAAGTGAGTGCTCTCTCAGTCTCTCTGCTCCGCAGTCCGCACACCCTTTCTTTTGCTAGCCTACGCCTACCTGTGTGCCTCTGGTCCGCTGCTGACACCTGATGATCGCGTGCATGCAGGGGCTCTCCCAACATCGAGATGGACGAGCACACGTTCCTGACCAACAGGGAGAGGGCCGTGGACTACCTCAACTCCCTGGACAAGGTGTTCGTGAACGACCAGTTCCTCAACTGGGACCCCGAGAACCGCATCAAGGTCCGCATCATCTCCGCCAGGGCGTACCACTCCCTCTTCATGCACAACATGTAAGCCAACCTGCCGACACGCTGCCAATCTGTCAATACTAGTAAAGTTTTGTTGCAGTAGGTCGTTGCTCGTGACACACTCCTCCAACGCCCAGATAAGTTCATCTCGACGACGACCCTTGATGAAACTACATATATATAAATAAATTTATGTGTTGTTGCAAAAATCAATGCTGTTGCCTTCCAAGTAACACAACTGGGGGAGCTACTCCCTACTCCCTAGCGAAGAAAGAAAGCTGTAGAAGTAAGTAAGTAACTGGATGGGCATGGGGGTCGCAGGTGCATCCGGCCCACGGACGAGGAGCTGGAGAGCTTCGGCACGCCGGACTTCACCATTTACAACGCCGGGCAGTTCCCCTGTAACCGTTACACGCACTACATGACGTCGTCGACGAGCGTAGACATCAACCTCGCTAGGAGGGAGATGGTGATCCTGGGCACGCAGTACGCCGGCGAGATGAAGAAGGGCCTCTTCGGCGTCATGCACTACCTCATGCCCAAGCGGGGCATCCTCTCGCTGCACTCCGGCTGCAATATGGGCAAGGACGGTGACGTCGCCCTCTTCTTTGGGCTCTCAGGTAACAGCATGGATCCCAAGAGGATTGTGGTGCCGTCACCTGCCCAACTCGCATCTGACGTTCTCCGCTTAGCTTATCCTTCTTCCTGTCTTGTCTTATCTGTATAAATACATACATACTTCACATAGCAGTAGATGCCTCAGATTTGCTGTTATGTGATGTCAGCGTAACTGACCTACTTGCTGTATGTGTTCTGAATGCGACGCCATGTATATCTACCTGCTGATTTTGGAACTCTGGATTCCTCACAACAGGTACCGGGAAGACGACGCTGTCGACGGATCACAATAGGCTTCTGATCGGCGACGACGAGCACTGCTGGAGCGACAATGGCGTGTCCAACATTGAGGGCGGCTGCTATGCCAAGTGCATAGACCTCTCCCAGGAGAAAGAACCTGATATTTGGAACGCCATCAAGTTTGGAACTGGTACTTCTAAACTTTCGGTTTCTCTGCCCTTGCGCTGGCTGAAGCTGAAGCTGAATTGACTAACTGAATGTTTCTGCTGCAGTGCTAGAGAACGTTGTGTTCGATGAGCATACTCGTGAAGTCGACTACGCCGACAAATCTGTCACCGGTAAATGTCATGTTCTCCATACACAGACTCATTTTTCAGTCACAAGCATCACAAAAAAAATCATTCTTGTCTGGTCTCATGGCGCTGCTGTTCTTGCATTGCAGAGAACACTCGGGCTGCTTACCCGATCGAGCACATCCCCAACGCCAAGATACCATGCGTCGGGCCGCACCCCAAGAACGTGATCCTCCTGGCGTGCGACGCCTTCGGCGTGCTCCCGCCGGTGAGCAAGCTGAACCTGGCGCAGACCATGTACCACTTCATCAGTGGCTACACCGCCCTGGTCGCCGGCACGGAGGACGGCATCAAGGAGCCACAGGCCACCTTCTCCGCCTGCTTCGGCGCGGCCTTCATCATGCTCCACCCGACCAAGTACGCCGCCATGCTCGCCGAGAAGATGCAGAAGTACGGCGCCACCGGGTGGCTCGTCAACACCGGCTGGTCTGGTGGCAGGTACGTACGACGACGTCATGGTCTGCTTCCGTCCTGCAGTTGCGAAGCTTGTGTTCGTTCGTTATGTAAACCAACCATATGTTCGTTGTGGATGGTCGCTTGTCAGGTACGGCGTGGGCAAGAGGATCAGGCTTCCCTACACCAGGAAGATCATCGACGCCATCCACTCCGGCGAGCTTCTCACCGCCAACTACCAGAAGACCGAGGTCTTTGGCCTGGAGATCCCCACTGAGATCAAGGGCGTGCCGTCGGAAATACTCGACCCGATCAACACCGTATGCTCTTCTGACACTAGCCAGCTCGCTTCATCAGTCATCTTTGAACTATACAGCCTGTTGAGAACAGAACTGTAACCGATTTATTCGAACTTGACAAATGCTGTGTCTGTGTGCAGTGGACGGACAAGGCCGCGTACAAGGAGACGCTCCTGAGTCTTGCCGGGCTCTTCAAGAAGAACTTCGAGGTGTTCTCCAGCTACAAGATCGGGGACGACAGCAGCCTGACTGACGAGATCCTCGCCGCAGGCCCCAACTTCTGAACTACAGCAATGGATCCGGATGAATAAAACGGTGGTGTGCGTGCCTGAGTGCGTGTGTGTGTGCGTGTGAAGATGATGACGACGACGACGAAAAAAGTGTTGGATCGATGAGCCAACACAGTAGATAGACTAGTTCGGTATATTGTCACGGGTGCGTCTGGTGTTGCTGTTACCTATAAGGTTGGTTTGTTCCATCAGCTTGTTCAGAACAGTTTGCGCGTGCTTGCATCTTGCCCCTGTACTCTCTCTGGTTTCAGAATTTGAATATATGAAACTGCTTGATCGGGATCATGTCTTTCCAGTGGTTCTCCAATTTCCTCGCAGTATGGCACCAACACATAGCAGTTGATTATGCCTGGAACTGCCATATTCTGTGGCCATCGCCACGGAAGCTCCAGATTTGACCCAAGCTCAATAGCTCATGCTTCTTGTTCAACACAACTTGGAAGTGCAGGGCTATTAGGCATGCACACGCCTTGCTAAATGCACCGTTCCACATCGACAAGTTGAGACATGACGTTGTGTAAATCCATTGAAGATCAGTTGAATCACGAAGCAATTGAAAATTTGCCAAGAAATGGCAGCCAGACTTGGACTAAACAACAAGAACCGTACACCAGTACCATTTTGGTACGGTAAACCTTTGGCAATATGATGCTATATGAGCTTTCCTTTTCAATGTGATGCCATGGCACGAGCATACCTGGGCGGCTGTTGGTCTGAAGAGCTCAAGGTCAGCGATAATGTCAGTTTAACAGGTGACTCTGAAGCCTGCGGGGTTTTGACTTTGACAACTACAAACCTTTTTGTTTTCCCGCAGCCTTCAAGATAGTAGATATGTAAGTGTACGACGGCACAACTATTTCTGACTTTTTTTCTTGGATTAATATATTTTTGTTGATGAGAGGATTGCAAGCGACCTGTCTGAATACTGAACTCCAATATGATAGCACTAGTAGTTTTATTCTTACACGGGTGCCCCAGAGGTTATATACATCATGTTTAGCACAGCTGGGTTTTAAACACTCTACTGGATTATAAACTCTATCGCCTTTCTTTTTACACAGAAGTAGGACATGTACATAGCATGGTTCGTCCTTTCTACGAATTCTCCACTGGATGTATTAACTTGAGTTAATCTAATTACAATATAAAGTCAACAGAAATAAGTGACTAGAATCCTAACTCAATCTTACAAAAATGTCTTAAATCATAGAATAAATCTGCCACCTTGCAGGGAAGCTTGAGCAACTTCAATCGTTGATTTCGTATCTGTTAGCAATCAATATGATCATAGTTTTCATCTTCAGACCACACAGGTCAGTTGTCAGCTTCAGTTTCCGACTCTGATGGCTCGCTTTGGAGCTTCATTTCGTCCGAGCTCTGCTGATTAAAATTGCGATCCACGTCCACCATCAAGGGCTCACTGTGGTCATGCTCCTCCTCATCTTCACTAGAAGATGACATAGCGATAGACGGAGGAACTGGAGATGTCAGGTTGCTTGAAGGCAGTTTTGCTATTTTGGCCCCTCCAGATCTGATCTTGGATTCAATGGCATTAATAAGCGAAGCTGCCTCCTCAAGAGGAACAACACGAGCACCACAGGCAAGAGCTGTAGCATGAACCAGAGATTTGGGATTTGTTCCTTGGTTGTTCGGTTCAGACAGGACACCTCCAAATGGACCTAAAGCACAAATACCCTTTTGTGGTTGTCTAATGGGCTCTGCAGGACAGTATGAAATTGGAACTGCTTGAATAGGTGCAGCCAACAATCTGTATGGCCCCTCTGTGGTCCAGGAAAATGAACAGGTATCAGAATAGTGTCCATCAAGGTGCTAAATTTTCCACTGACCATCTTGTGTTAACCTTAATCCTATGCTTGCTAAACAAATAAAACTGCTGTGATCTGAATTGAACAAAAAATAAATTGTGGTCCAGATGGTCAATGCCTCAATGGTTCAAAAAAATGTGCACAATGGGAATGTCAACACAAATCTGAAATAATGGGCTACTATCAAGCACTACTGCGTGCATAGGTCTATATTGGACAAAAAAATTGGAAAGTTCGGTGGCTTAAGGGGACAGATCATATATCGTTTGGTCACAAAAGATGCTGAATATAACCACTGGTATATATAACGAACCATTCCATGGTAATATGTTCATTTTCGTTTGCAACAGCAGACCAACAGATAAGCCGTTTAGAATTAGACAGCAATGCAGAAGGAATTGAGCTATTGACATGGTGCTATCAGGAAGCTTGAGTTTTTTTCTTTTCTTGAAACGAGAAGCTTGAGTTAATTAGAGCTACCTGCAGAAGATCCAGGTAAGTTCTGCGTCACAGGCATGCACAGTGCAAGAGGTATCGCAGGAATAGCAACCATGGAATCTTCGGAAGTTCCATGGATAACTTGCTCCTTTCCATGGATGAGTTTATTAGAACAAGTGTTCTGCGGTCACAGCAACAAATAAGCATATTCTGGTTCAAAATGAAATACTAAAAACTGCTGCGTCCATGGAAAAGAGATAGGTAAGCATGTAACGAATTACCTGAGATTTTTGTGAAGAGGTCTTCTTTGTGGTCTCAAAATGCATAACAGAACTTTCTGATGTATGTGTACCTTGTCTCCCTGTTGATGGAACAAGCAACAGTCATAAAGAAAACAATAGCTGTGGAAAGGCGTTGGATTAATTGATCATTACCATAGCATATTTACCATTTTTGGGAAAATCTCTTGATAGAGGAACGACAGTGTCAACACCATTATATAATCCTGAATCAGTCAAAATGTTGGTTGGTATCAGCAGAAGATTGGAGGCAGGATCTTGAACAGGCCTGGACCCAGGAGATGTTATTGTCAGTTCAACCTGATTTGAACATTGCAAAGCACTCGCTGTTTTCACCTGTAAGACATCATGTTTGCTTTCACTAATAAAACCACAATGTGGCAATGTTGGACGACTCCTTTTGACTTCAGCAACCTTTTCTGCAGCCTCTTTCAAGGCAGAAACTGCCACATGGTAAATTTCTTCTGTGACTGAACCATCTTTTGCAAATTTTATGGCCTCCTGACATAAATTGTTATAAAGGACAGTGAGGGAATCTGCAGGATTACATTGTGTTCCTGCACCAAATCCTTCATTTTTTACTTCATTAGGATCTGCACTCTTTGCAGCAAAATCAGCAACTTCTCTAGAAGTAATGTTTGAGGTACTGGGGACCATTTTAGAATGTGATAGTGAATGGTTATGCTCCTTCTCAAATTTAGAAACCATCCATTTTCCAGAGTTCATCTTTTTCACTACAATCATAGCTTTGCAACCGACTCTAGTTATCATTCTCGGACGCTTTGTTTTCCCTTCATCTGTCATCACTTTCTTGGTCCGAACTTCACGGAAGCCTTCCTTGGAACACACAATCTGGCGAGAAATAATTGAATTATCACGCCTTGAACGGCAGTATCTACTAATACGTGCACGAAAACCATTTAGTCTTGCATAGTTTACATAGAAAAATTTTGCAGCTTCTTCCGATTCAAATTCCATACCCTCAAATGGCTCCTCAACAGGGTCCGCCTCAATAGAATGTGGCTTCTCGATTTGATCGCAGTCCTGATCAGCTGGCCTAGAATCAAGTCTTCTTGGTGGAACTGGTCCATGATTGTGGTTCTTTACGAATTTGGTAACCATCCATTTGCCAGGATCAAACTTTTTAATTAATACCATTGCCTTGCAACCAACTCTAGTACCTGCCCGTTCTTGCTGTTTTTGTTCAGAATGGAGGCCATCACAAGCACGGGTTTCATGAAATCCCTCTTTTGAACACACAATTCGACGAGAAATAACTGAATTATCACGTCTAGAGCGAGTATACCTGCTTATCCGAATTCGAAAACCTGCACTTCTTGCATATGTGCTGTAGAAATCCCTTGCAGCATCTTCAGACTCAAATTCCATTCCTTCATAAGGTGTTAACTCTGTGTCATCTTCAAGTCCAATTAATTTTTCTACTTCACAATCACGTGCCACTAAAGTCTCAGTAGCTCTAGGCACCTCTGTTAAAGAGTCCTTTTGCTTATTGCCTGGTTTTGACTCAATAGCTGTTCCGATTACTGTCCCTTCCATGACCAACATCCACCGTCACAGAACTATGTAGATTTTTTAAACATCTCTTTCATAAACTTTCAGAAAAAGAATGCGAGTCCAAAATCACCAAAACAGCATCCTAGTTACACATCAGGACACTCACTGTGCGCAGAGGTCGTTCAGATGTGGCCCTACCCGATGGTATGAGGAGTGAGGCACTGTAAGAAGATTCAAAAAGTAAATGGTACCGATCAGATATTGGAGCAAATGCCAAGTGGAATCAAGCCTTGCAAAGTAGTAAAGGGAAACAACTGAATAGACATAAACCAACAAGGCAACAAACTTGCTCAAACACATTAAAAGCAAAGGTAATTCAGTTCCTCAGGCAGCATGCCAAAAGGGGGCGATTTGGCCCCAAACCGGCCTTGTCAGGATACAGGTTACAACGATCAGAGGCTAACGGTGGTGATCGTCCATCTAGAGGGAAAGAATTTGAAGAGGTTACAATGGTTCACATTACCGAATCAAAAACTTGGCACCATTGCACATTGTGACTACTGCTGCATCGAAAATCGAAAACAACTCTAAACATGACTAGTTGACTACCATGTAGCGCTAGCGCACACATTGAAGATGAAGGTCCTACGGCAAGTGAAGTTAAATCAGCTTTGTGCTGCCAGAACCCCGGAGGCACAACAAAGCAGTGTCTATTAAATACCACATCTTCATTTTACTGCAAGGCCATCAATTTCACTGGAGATGTGCAAAACGTCTGTTCAAAGGCTTCAGTTTAAGCATCATGCTTCTGTTTCAACGGGACAGCGTCTAGTCAAAGTCCATTTCATGTCTTCCGGGTGGCTTTTCTAGGAAAGGAAAGATACAGAGGAAACATCCTTACTATTGAAGTTGCACCCTTTTCTGTTACTTTTTCTGAAAGTCACTGCTACCGGTGGGTACTATTCATCAGATTGCAATAGTTGCATGATTCCATAAGGGTGAACTTGCCACTTGTCTGACATGTACGTTATTCTGGTGCAACCTAAAATTGCAGAAGATTCTACAGTCTCTGCTCCTCCAGAGTTCTTATCAAGAAGCATAGAATCGATCAAATACTCGACTTTAAACTGTTGTATTAGGTTTGAGTATGTGAACGACAGTAAAAAATAACAAAGAACATCTACCATCCAAAAAAACTATTTATTGCCATGCATGGAACGAAGATATCACGCTTAAAGCGAGAAAGCAACGAGCTTTTATGAGCCGAAACCAGGAAAAGGCGATATCTGTTGAAAACCAAAGGGAGCAATCAGAAACGAACAGCACCTACCTTTTCCCGAGAAGATCGTCGGGTACCCTCGACAAGCAGAGCCGAGGTGTTTCCCGATCGCTCCAGAGCCCAGACCAGCGCCAAGAACACCGAGAACGCAAACCAGGAACAAGCACGACGCCAGGTCGAGGCGGTCAAATCGAACTCACAGGCTACCGAGAAACCCGCACGGCGCCGCAAGAAGAATCGCCTCTGCAGCAACCCGGCGCTGTGAGATCGACGCCACCGTCCATTGTTGCCACCGCCAGGAAAGGAAAAGGAAGGGGACGACGATTAGTGGGGTTGCTTGGGGTTGTGATTAAAGAAAGCGGACGAGACGGGAGTGGGGGGAGGAGCCGGATCTCCGGAGCCACGAAACGGACGGCGGAGAACCGCGCGCGCGGGAGCGGGCGGAGGGCGGCGATGCCAAGGAGGCGGAGGGAGGCGCGGGAGGTACGTATAGCCGTCACGCTCGAGTCAAGTGGCGCGGCTGCCCAAGTGGATAAACGAGTCGTGGTAAGGCGGGCCATGACGCTGACATGGGCCTAACGGGCCCCTCCTGCAGCGAGAGGGACGGGAAACGGACGTTCGTGCAATCCCGTCCTTGTCATCCGCCCGCCGGTCGCCTGAAGAGAACTTTCTTTTTTAATATGAAAAAGTCAAGTTACCTCTAGATATTTTTGCGAAAATCAATTTTTCCTCTTTAACTCTAAAACCGGGTAACCACTTCCCTAACTTTAAAAAAACCGTTCGTTTTAACTCCTATTTTTTTTCTTTTTTTATTTATTTCGGCTGAATCTTTGAAAAACATAGTAAATCACAGAAAAATCATAAAATGGTAAATCCAATTTTGTTGGACTTCATATGAGTAGATCTACACAATGAACATATAATATGGTATGTTTTAGTACAATTTTTTGGTTGTAGCTTTATATCTATGTTTTTTATAATTAATTCATAGCTTCAGTTTTATAGTTCAATTGTGGTAAATTTTTTATGGTGGGCTAATTATTGTATGTTTGAACTGTACTACAAATTTCATACTCATTGGATCATGTATAACTTAGTTATAAACTTTTTTAGGTGTATACTTGTTAAACAGTATTTATAAATCTATAAACAAGCATACACCTAAATAAATCTATAAATAAGATATACAAGATCCAATGAGTATGAAATTTTTACTATAGTTCAAGCATGCAATAATTAGCCCACTATAAAAATTTTACCACAATTGAACCATAGAAACTGCAGCTATGAATTAATTACAGAAAAGCGGCTAATTATTGTATGTTTGAACTGTAGTACAAATTTCATACTCATTGGATCATGTATAACTTAGTTATAAACTTTCTAGGTGTATATTTGTTAAACAGTATTTATAAATCTATAAACAAGCATACACCTAAATAAAATCTATAAATAAGATATACAAGATCCAATGAGTATGAAATTTTTAGTATAGTTCAAGCATACAATAATTAGCTCACTATAAAAATTTCACCACAATTAGACCATAGAAACTGCAACTATGAATTAATTACAGAAAAGCATAGATTTTACAGCAAAAAATTTATACCAAAGCATACCATATTATATGTTCACTATATAGATCTACTCATTTGAAGTCCAACAAAATTAGAATTTTCATTTTATAATTTTCTATGATTTTTCAAAGATTCAGCCGAAATAAATAAAAAAGAAAAAGATAAAATCTTCTTTGAAAACCGCTTATAACTGGCTAAGGAGGTAAAACGAATGGTTTTAAAAGTTCAGGGAGGTGATTCACTCGGTTTTAGATTTCAAGGGAAAAACAAACTTTGATAAAAATTATGGTAGGTAACGTGGATTTTTTTCCTTTTTTATATGAAAAAAGGGCCCTGGCCCAGGGAACTTTCTTTTTCCGAAGGGAGCTGAAATTAGCTGAAAACTGCAATTCAGTCTTATGTGGGCCGGCCCAACTTTGGACTGGGCCCCAAATTGGGCCTTTCTGTGCGCGAGGATTCGCTGGCCCGTACCCGCCCCACTGCTTCCCCTTCCTCATCACAGTTCCCAGCGAACGACCCTGCACGCAATCCGCTGAGCCGGCCCGGAGGCCGGAGGGACTCGTCCATCGCCGTCGTCGCCGTCCACCTTCTCTCCCGTCGTGGGACGGAAGAGAACCCGTCCGCACTCAGAGACTGGTTTCTTCGGTGGTAGGAAACCCTAACTTGCCTCGATGGATTTTTCAGTTTCGTTTTCTCCCGCAATTAAATCCAAACTTTGCTTCTCTCCATCGATTCCTCGTGGTTTGTTGTTGCTTGGTGGAGTACTGATCTAGCAGTCAATCCATCCGAGGTTCTGTTGGGATTCAGCACGCGCTAGGTCCATCTCAGTTGGCGCCGTAGGGCTTTGGGTGTGGGTGCGGGTGCGGGTGCGGGTGCGGTTAAGTTCCAGATAAGAAAAAGTGGGGGTTCAACTGAACCCCAATGCCCCTGTTCATTTCGAATTACTATGAATTTATGGCTTGTTTGTTGCATTGACTGAAATGGTCTAGATATGTTATTGGGTAGTAGCTAGTGGTCATTCACGAGAACCATGTGGTCTAGTGGTAGTGTGGAGGTTTTGCTGCTAGCACTTGTTTCTTAGTCCTAGTTGTAACTGTGATAAGTCTCCTATCAATGATCCTGTAAGGGTGTGCCTCATTCCCTGCGTTGTATTCCGTTTTGGAAATTTATTCTTCTTATAAATACAAAGGTGTATATTCTTAAAAAAAAGTCTGTGGTCATAGGTTTTAAGTCCCCAATCTCCTTAGAATCGAAGACAACTGAGGTGCTTTTGTTTAATGGATGATCTCTAAGGCATGGACATTTGACCACAGAGAAATACACCATAGATAAGCATTTTTTTTCAACGAGGTGTTTTCCATTTTCCTTTCTTGTTTACTTGTTCTTGATATAGTGTTGTTTTGCTTCGTAGGGAGCTCAACTCGAGTCTAAAATATTCAGATATTGCTAGAGATGTTGGGTCATGGTCTAGCAACCGATCCCTCAAGAACCTTAAGATGTCCAGTTACTTCAAGGGTATCAAGTGCGCCCTTGGGGCTTGTTTCTTCGTTGAGTTTCAACAGGGGATGAAAGGGAAAGAACAAAATCTTCATCAATGTGGATAGGTATGGTTTCTTACACTTCCTGCGACTCAGCCTCAAAGCTTTCGTCTAGTTTCTGCTGTGTTTTGAGAAATACAATTTCTCATCCAAATCCTTCAATGCAGATACACGAAGTACAGTACTTCTTTCTGTTATGCATCAAGAAATTCCAGAATCACACCACTGGCAACTGCATCGTTTGGGGATATGGCTGATTCTTGAACTCGTGAGTATTTGCTACCCATGTTTATGACAAGAGAATCTTGCATAATTAGTTTATATATACTTCAGATTGTGTGGCACTTTTTTCATATTGAATTTCAATAAACCCGAGGTATGGTTTTCTAAGGAACATCAAAGTAGTAACCTGTTCTCCAGAATAATTGACTTACATAAACATTGAATATTGTCATTGCCAAGTGCACCGCATTTGACATTCATGTATGTAGGGAACGAGTAATTTCGGTAATCAGTATCACCTGTTTCTGTCCCAACCTTGTTTTATAGATTACATGTACCTGTGATTGACCTTTTGATTTTGTTATTTGTAACAGTTCTTCTGTATAATAATCCTTGCGCATCCTTTTTGACTGCTTGATTTTATTTCAGCTGTCT